TCGAGGTCACGATAGCTCAAGTGAGAGAGCAGCGGCGTATCTAGCCGAAGATCGTGTGTTCGAATCCTGCTCGTGCCATTTACTTTTTATCTCAACTAAAAATCTTTACATAATCTCAAATTTAAAAGTTCTAAGCCCTTTTGTGAAACCTTTTGTGTTGGAAAATCAAAGTTATGCCAATTTTTTTCTTCATTTATTTGTGTCTAAAACTGTACATGTATTATATGCAACCACAGATTGGGTAATTTGTGTTTGTGGCATTACGGACGTTATAGAGAAAGCTACCATCCCTTATGTTCCCCACGCTATCAACTCGAGATGAAACAAATTCCAGTTCTTACTTACTGGTCAACTCAATCCCTTCGTAACCCAATTTCCCTGATAATCTACAACGCCGATGTCCCTGCGATCTCACTTTGAGATCTTGAGGGATAAGGGAATGCTTAAACTTATATCAGCGAGTCAGTACAGACCGACTTCTCTGCTCAATACAATACAAGTCAATTATATATATTTTACTATTATATTTGCTTGTTGTAGCTAATCCAGTTGTAAATTTAAAATAAAACGGAAAAAAAAGAGATTTTATTACTATTTACTCATGTTTGTTTAATATGTCCCTTGGAAAGCTTGAATGAAGTTTATTAGTTTTTTTTAGTTGATTTTGGAGACCTCGGCTGTCATTTACGTTAGTACCATTGTCACTAGTTCCATTCTTAGACATCCCTAGCCATTAGTCCAGGGGTAAACTTTGTAGTCAATCCCAGTGGTCATCAAACTCGCCGGCTGGCTGTTCAATCCTCATTTCACATTCAGGCAATATTCTGAAATCGATCTCAGACATTTTGCAACATCTCATGAAGTAGTGAGCTCCCACGGTCGGTAGGTTTTGTCTTACAATAAGCTGGAATCGAAGTGTCGGGCAGGCGAGAAAAGGGCTTTTACACAACATCAAAGCTAATTGCCTCTGTGCCTTTGAAGGACGTTGAGATTCGGGAGAAAACGACATCGGGAGGATCTCGACATACATTTCGCAGGTGTGACCGATGAGCGATGTGTTGTGGTTTTGTAATCTTCGGCCCGGCATGCAATCCGGGCGATCACGACGACCCCCGTCCGGCCCTTTGACCGGCCGCCCGGACCCTTTACATAACCGATAAGGAGCTTCACAACTTCAACGGCCCTTGCGCAACGGAAAAACAAAATAACCGGCAATTTTATTACGACCATAACGAGACATCAGCGAGAGACGACACGATGACGAGCTCTTTCTTTTCTCAAATTCGTAAACTCGGAAACGTTACACTTCTATCTGGAGATGCAAATTACGTTTATTACATCTTCGTGCCGTTCTCCTGGACTAGTTTCTCAAACTCCTCTGCCGATGAGGTGAAAACGTCGAAACAGTTCGACCCTTTAGCTCAGGGTAAATCAGACATAAATAAATTATCACCTTAGTATATTTTGGATCAAGATCACAAACTGATCTTCTTAGACATTGTGATTCGAAAATTTGATTATAGAAAGTTATCGGTTTTGTACTTTCAGAGTAGTTTCAGTCTTCAGCCATCTTCAGTGGTTGCTCTGTGTGTTATTTTCTCAACTGTGACCTTTAATGAAACAATGCGACCTCTTCATATTTTACAAACTTACAACAAAAAAAAACCTAAAACTGTAGTATTTATTTAGGACTGCGAGTAGAAGAACTTGTAGTTACTTTCGAGTAATCCTGGTCCGCCTTATTTCGCTATACTTGCAAGAATTGAAATGGGAACTTTTCCCGTTTCGGAAACCTCGATATTTAAAGAGGAAATATGCAATTATTCCTCATGTGAGCAAGGTCAATTAGAGGTTCCATTCTTGTCATTGTCTTCTTTTTGTCTATCGAGCTACCAGGTTGTGTATTGATTAAAGATAATGTTCGTCCCTGATAACTTTTGAAATTAAATAGATCGTTGAAAAGGCCAAACCTGGTGATTTAGGCAAGAGTTACCACCGTTTTTCCGTGTTTAAGGAAAGCGAACTTTTTGCCTTGTAAATGAAGCGGATATGGAAAAGAATGTTTCGACCTTCATTTCTCAAGAAAAAAAAATCATCTCACATGAAGAAGAGAACGGAAAATCGATATCCGTCGAAACGGGAGCCGGCAATTAAAACTTGTGCAATTCCCGGTCACGTTTCTCCCCAATACGAGAAAGTACGGCCACATAATGAGGGATCGTCCTCGTGACTCCCCGCTGACCGCGCCCGTCCTTTGCCAAAGGACTCTCGTCCTGGCAGTCTGACATTCTTTTACCTTCCTCAAAACGCGAATTTTGAATTTAATACATCGCAGTTTCGCAACTTTGACCTATAACCGGCAGCCGAGAGCAAACTTCATGAATGAATTCGAAGCAAATGGATTCGAGGTCTGACCTATTGCAGCCCCCTCACTCTCACTATTAACTCATTCTTACGTGTGTCTAGTTTTTTTAAGATTCGAACTGTTCAGTCAGTAACATTTGTTTTCCAATTAATATTTATGGATTTAACGCCAACACCAGGTTGATTTCTATAAATAAAACAGGAGAGCACTCCGACAGGAGGAATTTTAAATTTAATCATGTTGTTTTTCACCTTGAGGACCTTCAAACTTTATAAAGTTTCTAGGATTTTCAAAGAATTTAACAATTTTATAGATAATATGCACTCACTCTACCTCTCATTTTACTAATTTAAATACACATTCACTCTTTCTTATTTACCTTACTTTATTTCATCTTTCATCCTCCACCCTCGCACTCTCTCACTCTCTCTCTTTCTCTCCCTCTTTTTACTTTCTATTTCTATTCTTTTTTTCTTATGTTTTTCCTTCTATTAATTTCTTTTTAACCTCTCTTTCTTCTGTATCACTCTCTCCCTCTCACTATCTGACCTTCACATACTCTTTCATTCATTTTTTAATTATCTAATTTCTACATTCTGCTTGTTTCGGCCTCTGTCACGTGATTCTTCTCCTCTCTCTTTACAACCTATCTGTTGTGTATTCTGCGTCTCTACTTTTTTCCTTTTTATGCTCACTCTATCCTCTCTCCCTTCTCGCTCACTTTGTCTTTTTCTATTCTTTCACATCGCATTTTCTTCACTATCTGCTCGCATCATTCTCTCTCTCTCTCTCTCTCTCTCTCTCGCACTCTCTCTCTCTTTCTCTCTCTTTCTATCTCTATCTCTCTCTGACATTCTTGCATAGCCTTTCATTCATTTTCTAACTATCTAATTCTATATTCTTCCTGTTTCAGTCTCTGTCTTGTCTTTCTTCTCTTTTCTCCCTTTGCTTTTATTCTTCTATTCTCTTTACGACCTATCTATTTTATATTCTAGGTCTCTCCTTTTTTTGCATCTTATAGCCCTCACTCTATCCTCTCTCTCTTCTCGCTCACTTTGTCTTTTTCTATTCTTTCACTTCGCACTTTCTTCTCTTCCTTCTAGCATCATTCTCTCTCTCTCTCTCTCTCTCTCTATCTATCTATCTATCTATCTATCTATCTATCTATCTATCTATTTATCTCTATCTCGATCTATCTATCTATCTTTCTCTCTCACTTTCAGTCACTCTTTCTCATTCAACAAGTCAACCGAATGAATTTAGTCCCTTGGACGATAATTTTCTCCGGGATTATTTACATCCAAGGAGAAGTTTGTAATATAATCCCAATAAAATATGAAGAAAAAAAACGTTCTAAAAAGTTAGAGATAATCAGTTATTTGATCTTTGTTTCAGTATTTATACCTATCTCCTTTTAGGTGCTCTTGTGACATCTTGTACCATAATTGTTTTGTTAATAATCAAACGAGTTTTATAAAATAAACATGTTTTGTGCAAGTTTTAATCAATTAGTTTTTAACTTTCACGTGCAATCATATCCTAAGTGAATTTCATGAAAGAAAAAAGCACTGCTTAGATAAGGATTAGCTGGAGGATGGCAGCTTGCGTATGCGCCTCGTAAGGGGCGATCCCTGTCTGAAACGTCTCAATTAAAGTACTTTCTCATTTGTCCTGAGACAATGGGTACGGGCCCTAATCGCACTATTGACCAATTGCCCCAAGGACGGGACGACACCCCTGACAATTTCTAACAGTTTGAACACCTTTTGCGCAAATTGACGATGGGAAGATTTTTTTCGTTTTAGTCTTAAGGATTGAGAGGTCTGCGGTGTGTTTACCGATCACCTTTACCTACCTTGGTCATATTTATTGGATGGTTTAAAATGGTTCAATCATATGTTTGTCAAATATGAAGATTGAGCAGTACAGTTGTGATTTATGTGGAAGGATACGGTGGACGAAAAGCAACACAAAACAATCAATGAAATGTCGAGACTAAGCGGACCAGAATGTCCGGAAATGACCGAACTACATACTCCAAGTTAAAACAACGTGTTTGAATAGATATTTATTAATGGCATTTTCAATTTTTGTTGAAGAACTTCGGCGTACATCGTTTACCTACTCTGATGAATGAAAATGGACCTTCTGGAGGTTCCTGTTTAAAAAAGAAATTAGGTTTTTTATTAATCCTTCCTAAAACTTTACAAAATGATTATCCAGTATATTTTTTGCCTTAGTTTCTAACTATTCTAGTGTTATGTTTTTAAATGCTCAACTTTAAACATTTTAATTTTTATTAACCTTATTTATTGGCCTATTTTTTTTAATGATATCAGGTCGAGTAATATTTATAAATGGCATAGTATTTCAATCATTATATAAGGTTGGATAAGAAAAATGAGGTTGATTGAGGGTAAAAACATGCGAAAGAAGAGGACGATACTGGAGAGAAAGTCAATGTTGGCTGGTTGTAAGTCAAGCTCGTTGTGTTGTAAGCCAACAAAAGCACGACGGCGATCCGTATCGGAGTTATATTTACAGCCGTTTCCGATGAGTGTTGCCACAGCTCAGGGTCATCCTCTTCTTATCTCTCCTTATACTTTTTCTACCGTTTGACGTTTGCTTGTTTCAGGGTTTGGCGCGTTTACCTGTGCCGACCAGCGAGACCATACCCTACGTGGCGGAAGTGATGGGTGCTGCCAGCTACGAGGAGACCGTTGAGGATGATGTCCGTTCCAATGTAAAGAGGGTTCAGAGGAAGCTCACCGACCCAGGACAAATTGACAAAGACTTAGACCCGGAACAGCAGGAATTCACCGAATACCAAGGCAAAACTCCAACTATTTTAACTTTGACTTTAGATTGTTTTCTTGAATTTGAACTGAACTGAAGATTAAGCGATCGACAACTATTAGTTTACTATTTTTATGCTTATCAGGCGTAATGGGAAGACCAGGAGTAGATTTCCCCGTCCTACCTTCGATTCCGAGAACAGACTTCAGCTGCAGAAAGGTGAAGAGTTCAGGTTACTACGCTGACCTACAGACCGGATGTCAAGTGAGTTTACGCTTCGAATTGCCGTTAGCCATTTATCAATAATAACTTTATTGCAATGCTTCAGGTTTTCCATATATGCGACGGAGGAAGGAAAATATCGTTTTTGTGCCCGAACGGGACTATTTTCAGACAGAGTCATCTCATCTGCGACTGGTGGTTTAGAGTGGACTGCGAGAGATCGGAGGAGCTGTACGAAGAGAGCGCAGAGCAATTGGCCCACGACCAGATGATTTACAAAAAGCGTGCTGAGGAAATCGCAAAAGCTATGGCGAGCAAGTCAGATGACGTTTCTACAACGGAGCGCGTTTCGAATTTCAGGCCTAACAGGAGGAAGCAGAAGACTCAGAACTTCAACAGCTTCAACAACGAAGATAACCAGGGCCAGAATTACAGCCCGCAGGCCTCGTTCAACCAAGAACAGACTTATAACAACAATCAAAGGAACTTTCAAAACAACCAACTACAACAAGAAAAAGAACGTCAAGTTTTAGCTGAGTCGGCTTCTTTCGCCAGCAACAGGCATCGTTTCGGAAATCAGTTCAACCAGAACTACTATCAGAACCAAAATAACCGTTTTCAATCTACGACCCAGCCTCCGGTCAAATCGCAACCAGGCCATGGAAACTTCTCACCTCAGAGGCAGAAGGCTGATGCGACACCTGTACAATCCAACTTGAATAGAGGCAATTTTAATTACAACAGTTTTAACAACTTCGAGCAAAAGCAATTCCAAAGCCCTGATCAGCCTCAACATCAGACACAGGCTCATCAGAACAACTATAACCAAAATCAGTATCAATCTTCAAAACTTCCTCAATATCAGACTCCCCCAATTACGCAGTATCAGACTACGGCGACTCCTCACTATCAGACTACAACGACTCCTCAGTATCAGTCTACCGCGACTCCTCAGTATCAGACCACAGCGACTCCTCAGTATCGGACTACGGCGACTCCTCGGTATCAGACAACAACTACACCACAGTATCAATCTTCAGCGAATTCCCAATACCACCAGGACTTTCGACAGCAAAACTACTTCAACGCTAATCATCAATTCCCGCCTTCCGAAAAGCAGACTTATAAGACACAAGAGAACCAATTAGCACAGCATCGGTTCCATATTAATGCTCAGACAGAGACTCAATCCAATGTTGGTGTGAATTCTTATAGTACATCGCAACAAACTTCACAGTCTACCACTGAATCATTGCTGGTTCATAGTCAGTCGATCAGCGAGTTTAACAATCTTCAACCTACCAACAGACCTAATGTATCGACTGCTTCGCAACCGGTTTTTAACGTCAAAGTCAAGTCGAACAAAGAGTTTTCTTTCGTGGAACTTCACAGGCAAAACGAACCTTCTTCGACACTTACACCCCTAGAAATTACCACTTTACCGCCGTATTCCTTAACGCCTTCGACTTATTCACCGACTGTGCCGCACAGCAGCACGCAATTCGCCTACATTCCGAATCGGACAACTCCAAGCTCTACCACACACCAATACGCGACTTTTAACAACTCCGGAACACCTGAAGAAATTAGACCGGAGGTCGTAAATTCTCTCATTGAAACGGGCGTGACTCCGACTTCCGCAAAAGCGTTGCACTCTTTGGCTTCTTATATAGGGTCGGAGGAAGTGAACGACGCTTTCGACGGAAAATCCAGAAAACCCCAAGTCTCGGATGTCGTGCTGAACTTTCGCTCTGGAAGCACTGAGCCGCCGACCAGACTTAATTCTACAGAAAAAGACTTACCGTCGGTACTGACGAAGCAAACCAAAGATTCGTACGAATATTTGTTTTCGGACAGTAAAGAGCAAACAGACAAAAAAAAGGACGATTTGACCGTCAAAGAGAGTGGCTCCATTTTTGGCGAAAATCACGTTACTACAGAAGCGACATCGACCGAATCGCAAGAAGTCGAGGAAAGTAGTGAAAATTTAAAACTAAGAGACTCCTCGGAGCTGAGAGAATTAGCTCAGGTGTTCAGCAGGGCCCTTTCCGCCTATCTCGAAGATCCGGATACGTTCAAAGAGATTCTGGCTCAAGTGAGACCGACGGAACCGAATCTGTCCGACAACACGACGCCCTCTCCGGACGACGAGGTACTAGACTTCTCCGACGGTAACGAGAACAGAGTCGGGACCACAGAACCGCCCACCACGACCACATTCGCAGAATCCGACGGTCTCAACTTCGGCGAAATAAATAATTTGGCGACCAACAGGCACTTCGAAGACAACTCCTTGGAAATCTCTTCGCCACAACCGAGCGATATACACACAACTGTTTCGACCCCAGAAAATAGCACAGATTATAACAATAAATTGGGATCGGCTGAAGATCAGAGCTATTTCCCGACTGCAGGCGGCGTGAGCGACACCACCAGGCCCCGATACGGTGGCTTCCACAACAACACCCAAAACTCAAAGCATTATTCCCCGTACGGTTCCGACCTTCCCAAAAACATCACAGGAACCCCTCTTTCTATCACTACCACACCCCTCCCTGTGACCGCATTCGGTGCAAAATTGACCAACATCCCCGAACCTCAAAGCGTGAATAGTCTCGCATATAATTTATACACAGCTGGATTTACCTCCAGCGGGGAAGACACTTACGAAGCTAACAACTCGGGTGAAGAAAAAGTATTGATAACCTCCGGAAGTCAGTCACTGGTCTCGAGCGACAACTACAGCAAATTCGCACAGAATTTTAATAAGCAGAACGGGTACAAGGACATGGCCGACAGCGATGTCAAAAACGAAGAGTACTTGCCTTATTTCGGCCAAGAACCCCCTTTTGAAACTTTGGGACAACCGGCGGCATTCCAGACACAAAGCCCGTACGTAGAAAACCAAACCGAATATTTCAGTTCGTCCACGAAAGACAGTGAGTACAAGGTGTCCTTTAAAGACGTCAATCTCGGAAACGGGGTCACCCTGGAGAAAGATATCACCGTAACGACAGTGGACAGTTCTACAACCTACACGAATGTGGATTCGACGACCCGTTTCGACTCTACGACTGCGACATATACTCCGACCACCTATCATCCGCATCCGGAGCCGACATTCGAACCCACCGCGACTACACAAGAAACGGCCGAGGCGTTCACGACCATGAAGCCCGACCATCCGGAGTACAACAACTACATGGAATCCAAGGCGAAGGAGATGTTCGGCATGCTCAACGAAACGGCCGCGGGGGCTCTCATGGAGATGATGAACAAGGCCGAGTCGAACATAACCATCAGAAGGCTCGTCCTCTTACTCGTCTCGGACAAAAGCAGGGAGAATAAAACGGCAGCGGAGTCGAGGCACAGTCTGATCAACGCTCTCCTCACCGAGACCGCAACCGATACAACGACGCCGCTTCCTCCCACGACAACTCTTCTCCCTTCTACGACCACGCCCAAGAGGAAAACGTCCAAAACGAGGGGCAACACGAGAACGGGCAAATCCTACAGGGGCACCGACACGTACACGGGCAATCACGGCGTCTCGGTGGAGCTCAACAACCAACTGGACACAGCCAAACTTTACATCCCGATGACGACCCGCTCGACGACGGAGGGAAAACTCCCTTACGACTCGGACGCCAGGGCTGTCGAACTCCTCAAAACTCTTTACAACCTCGCTGCCAAATGGGGTTAAGGACTTTTCATCTACTCTAAACCTTTTTCTTTCCAATTCGAAACGAACCCCACGATCGATGATACTTCCAAAATTACAGATTCTTCTTATTAGAATTTTTTTTACCACAGTAAAAAAACGAAGTATTCTTGATCGTTGTCGGTTTGATACGGGCGAAAGCGGTTTGACGAAAATCCGCCCCATTTAAAATCAACATCACTAAAAAGTAATTTAATTATAAAAAATTGTGTAAATGTTCCTTCTATGAGTGTAATATAAATTTATATAATTAAAAGCCCAAATAAATTATATGTTGATTAAAATTTGTATTATAACAATTTTGTCGTTATGCAGGTACTTTAAAAAAAATAGAGGTGTATAGAGTTAATATATTGACATGTCTTTAAATGGCTTCATTTTCATTTGATATTCCCACAAACTGTGAACCACGTTCAAGTCCGTGAGGCCTTCATAAAGCCTACAGTTTTCAAGTATCTTAAATATTTAATTTTTTATATACAATCCTCTTTTTAGTTTGTACAATAATTGTTATTGACCGGGTAATAACCATTCCCCGCTTTCCAGGAAGGAATGAACATGGAGTACCCTACCGTCCAATTATATTTTGTATTAATTTTTATATGTTAGTAGTAAAAAAGTTGCCATTTTCTATTGTGAATGAGTGTTTATAAAGTACGAGTTTTATTGTGTTGTAAGATGTTATTATTTTGCTAAGTTAATAAATATGTATATAAATATTGGTGTGTTCGATTTATGTCTATTTTACCTTATACCCTGGATTGTTTTAATATTGGTTAAAGCAAAAAATCTAGTCCAAATCCAATATTTAGACTTTACAAACCAATCAAGAATTCTCCCGACAAAACCGACGGCGAGTTTCTTTGTCACCTGTTCCACGTTTTGGAGTACGTGGGGATTTTTTGTGAGTGGTGGGTATGGTTAAATATAGCGTCACCATCACGTCTCCATCAGTGTGTGTATAGGGTAAAAGTACCCCATCAACCCTGATATCAAGTACTGAACCAAATAATCAGAACGAGTGCAATGTACATAGATGTGAATGTATTTATTTGTGTGACTGTATTACTAAAGTTAGTTAGTTTTAGGCTAGATTGTAATTTGCATGCGATGGAGGATGAAATGACCTAGCTGTTGAAAGCCCCCGTTGGTTGGGAAGCGACGTGCATCTGGCAAAAGGGGGATACTAGCGACCCTGTCGCATAAAGTGATAGGTAAACTCCGCTAAGAGTATAGACTTAACGACCAGCATATCGGAGACTGACAACCCTTCGGGGTAAAATTGCAATAAACAAATGGAAATGGCAAAAACGATTCCAGAAGCTAGATCCTTTGTTTGGAACAACGTCCATCCATCCAAAAAGAAATAAATAACTTCAAAAAGATCAAATACCCAACAACGCCTAACTAAAAAACATCACGAAGAGAAGTGAAAATGGTTAGTGGTAAAATACAAAATAATTAAGGTAGGAGAAAAAGGAAAATATTTAACTCAGTGTCAATAAAATGGTTGAACTGCGTACAGGATTAAGTGCAAAATATTTGTATTTGTTTGCAAAACTACAGTTAAATTATTTATATTTAGTCTAACTATAAAAAAAATTATCGATGTTTCTTTTAGCACAAATTTCTACGAGGATTTCTCACCGCCGTCTTGTTTGCATGGTGTCTTTTTTCAGGGAGAGTGAAAGTCAGACACTGTGGCGAAGACGGTGAATGTTTAAAACCCACAATTCAACTAGTTTTATCCAACAGTTTTTATTGTGTGAAAAAGATCGACCATAAAATAACGTGTTATAGTGGTTTATAGATTTAACATAAAAATCGAAGTTGGCAAGCTGAGTCGTCCTTTTCCTCGATACTTTACAATTTTTAAACATCTGTAAGCTTTTTATGACACAAAGACTAATAACTTTTATTTCCTTTCTAAAAAGAACATAAAAAGATAAGTATGAAGATGATTAAACTTTTCAGATCATCACCACTTTTTAGGTAATCCATAAATGTCATCAATATTTGCGTTTAATATGGTTAACTTAAGGCCAGTGCTGTACCTGGAAGACACATGCTTTGAGAAACTAGTCATTGCTGGGACTCAGTGTGAGGGGTTAAGCAACAAGGAGATCTCCCGGCCTTGGCTATCGGGTTGGGAATATGTAGAGAGAACTTGAGCAGTAGGGTTAGGCTTGTTGGTGTGAAACTTTTGGAATCAGGAATGGATCAGTTCGTTGACAAAATAAATGTTAAGGTCAGTGTTGATAGAGAGGTAGTGATGTAGTAAGAAGCATCAACGATTTCAGTGGACCTTTGTTTAGAAGTATTGGATGGCTTGGCAGAACCCCACAGTTTCACAATGTGTGTCCTACCTGGTCATAATGAAGTTTTGTGTAAGGTTAGTTTAGAGTTTATGGTTAAAACGGATTTCAGTTCTAGAAATTTATCTAGTTATCCTGCTATCTACGTATAGTCAAATTATTTGATATGACTGGAAGTCTGTATCTGTCTGTTGTTGATGTACAGTGGAGGGTAAAACGGTTCTCTCTCTCTCTCTCTCTCTCTCTCTCTCTCTCTCTCTCTCTCTCTCTCTCTCTCTCTCTCTCTCTCTCTCTTTCTCCTCAAAGTGAATGTAAACTGAGTATATTATTTTTCATTTAGTCTTGTTCTCCACTTTTTCCCAGTCTTCGATAAGTTCAAGGTGTTCTTGGATGTTGAAGGTAACTTGGGTAGGATTTGTGTTAGAAGACAAAATTGCACAATCATCTGTTTAGGTTGTTATGATGTTGTTAGGGTGTATAAGTAGTATTGGAGGTGAGTAGGATGGTCAGAACTATAAATTATATAAAGAATGGGAGCAGGAATGCACCCTTGTGCGATGTCGGCTTGTATTGGTCTGATATCTAAATATTCATTGCTACATCTCACTCTGAATCAGTGGTTGGTTAGGTAGGATTACAGTATAAGATAGTTTATAAAGCCAGATCCTATCAAAAGTCTGTGTGACATCTAGAAACACACCAAAGCAATACTCTTTATTCTCTAGAGCAGAGGAAATAGTGTCAACAACTTGTGTCATCATTGGGTGGTGGAATGATGGGATGGAAGCTGAATTGGTAAACATGATTTTATGAGTATCTAGGATTATTGAACACTTTTAAATGGTTTTGGGCATTACAGGAAGAATGCTGATGCAGAAAAATATGTGTTTGGGAGGTTTGTAGCTTTAGGAATGGGAATACAAATGGAATGTTTCTAAATGCACTACACAGTAAAATTGATTACGCTAAAAAATTATGTATTCAGCACAAAACATTCACATTACAAACTATCAGCTCAGTTTTTAACTACGTTCACTTGATAAATAACGAAACAGGCGTTATTTTAGTAGGCACCCACAACGATGTTATGTCACACAAAGTTTACAAAATAAAATAAATTTATTTGCTCATAGTTTATATTATTTTTTATTGAATTTAATATGTTGGATAAAATGTAATTAAATATTTCAACCATTTAAAGAGACATTGCTTGGAAAATAATCTATAATTTATTACATAAAATATTATGTATTAGAATGTTAATTTTTGCAAGGAACTTGCTTTTTAATAATCAATGATTTACGTTTATATATAAATTTATATTTTTACATAAACCCCATTGGGTCTGAAATATCAGGTGAAATAATTAAATAAGTCTGGGAAAAAGTTGTTTTAATCAACAGTATAATCTGCTGTTTAACAACTGTATGTACACAAGAATGGCATTCCTTTTTCTTTCTTATTAGTGTGTTAATATTTTGTCTTACTGTACTAATTTTTTTATTTATTTTTATTTTTGCATTTTGCCCTTATCACCATCTAAAATATCCCAAAAGCAAGAATTTGGCACAAGTTGCTAAGATACTTTTTTATTTTTTATTGAACTACAAAGATACTTTACTTTTTTAAAGATGTATCAGAACATAATCATCAACCTAACTTAGAAAACTTTAATGCATTTAAGCATGGCTATAAATACAATTAAATTTTCAAAATGTGTATCAAAGTGTGATTTGGCCTGTTTTTCAAAAGACCGACCTCTTAAGGTAACAAGAAGCCATAACACACCTAAATCAAATAAATCTAAGGTCAAAACTGCAAGGGGGCAGTTCTGGGTGATCATAAGCAATATGATTACAGGTATATCACCACAAAGAATCTAAGATAAATAGAGTTTCAGTATTCAAAATATTTGCTTTCCTATTCTGATGCTATTACTTTTATTAAAACAATGTTTCTACAAACATCTCATTCAGAATCTCTTCACATGTCTGAAGAGGTTATATTTTCATTTCCTATCTACGCTGGTTGGGAAAATGATATAAAAGGGGATGATTTGAAAAGCAAAGACATTCAACATGAGAACACAGTCAAGAGTAATCAAGCAGCCACACCCAGACAGAGATTCACCAAGAGGACCCAGCTCACAAGAGCCAGCAAGGACCTAGCCATTGCAACAAGTGGAATAGAGGCAGCTGTCAAGGATCCTGGAAGATGCGGGAAGAAGATCCTATAAGACACTGAAGGATATGCAAGTTGATGTTAGCAAGTATCGTTTGGGGTAAGTCCTCTTGTGAATAAGCTCATCTCCAGAGTTAGAGTTGTGGCTGACTGGCCTTGGTTGTTTAACATTCTGTTTTTTTAGTACGATATTAAGATGAGCCAGTATAACAGTAAGTGCTTACAAATAGTATCCCTCAGGTTTGTTGTATTTTAAAACCTTACCTTCTTCCAAATAAACAGTAGTTAAGCGCAAACTTTTTAATTTAACCTCTATCCTTTAAAGAATTATCAGCAAAGGTTGCTGCATCCATCCACCCAGAAACTAACTCAGATTCGTTGGTGAGTAATTGAGGTACAAGTTACTTGAAATAAAAGTTCTGGCATTAAAATTTTTTTGTGTGGTGTTTAGTGACCATTAGTTAATGATTTTTTTTAGAAAAACATTTTCTTTCAACGTAACACACAATAATGACACATCTACACAGAAAACAAACACTTTGAGCCCTGAAGATGATCTCAATAAAAATCAAAATGTTGGCATGATAAAGAAAAGATTTTTCTAAAACCTACGTCACACCAGATTGCATCTCATGATCTCCTAGTAATCATTAAAAAGTTTCCGAAATGTACAACTTGTATCGTTGTTTCGATCCGATGATATCTACATCATCTTTTGATATTTTTTTAATCTACACAAGCATGTAGCATCAACTTCAAAGATGATGAGTACACCAGTTGTACAAACAGTTTCCAACATGTACTGTAAAATGGGAATTTTGTACAAGTTTGGTTCAAAGCTAAAATTTTTAAAAATTGAAAGCTTTCTGAAAAGCCCATCTTTCAATTTTGTACTTTTGTTTTCTATAATTTTTTTGTGTATATTGCTCATTATCTATTTTTCAAATATTTCAACCTGTTATTTGGCTATAAAGACATTTTCAGCTTTGTTCCTTATTCTTCTTATTTCACTTCCAAAAGTATAAATAAATACATAAATGAAGTCTTATTTTTTTTCTATTTCCTTTGTTCACTCGACAAGTCAACAATTGCATCGTGTTGCTGACAATATAGCCTCTTCCCTCGAACAAAAACAGCATTGCTTGAGTGTATTTCTTGATTTAGACCAGGCCTTCGATCAAGTGTGACACTCAGGCTTGCTTTGGAAACTGAAGAACATCTTC